CCGTTCGGCCACCTGTCTCCGCTGGAGGGCCCGAGGAGCCCGTTCGGCCACCTGTCTCCGCTGGAGGGCCCGAGGAGCCCGTTCGGCCACCTGTCTCATCAGCTGGAGGGCCCAAGGAGCCCGTTCAGCCTTCTGCCACGTCAGCTGGAGGGCCCGAGGAGCCCGTTCAGCCTTCTGCCACGTCAGCTGGAGGGCCCGAGGAGCCCGTTCAGCCACCTGTCTCGTCAGCTGGAGGGCCCGAGGAGCCCGTTCAGCCACCTGTCTCGTCAGCTGGAGGGCCCGAGGAGCCCGTTCAGCCACCTGTCTCGTCAGCTGGAGGGCCCGAGGAGCCCGTTCAGCCACGTGCCACGTCAGCTGGAGGGCCCGAGGAGCCCGTTCAGCCACGTGCCACGTCAGCTGGAGGGCCCGAGGAGCCTGTTCAGCCTTCTGCCTCTGCTACGCCTGGTCCAGCTTCTGCCTCTGCAACGCCTGGTCCAGCTTCTGCCTCTGCTACGCCTGGTCCGGCCTCCGAGTCTGCAGCTCCGCCTGGTCCGGCCTCCGAGTCTGCAGCTTCGCCTGGTCCGGCCTCAGCCTCTGCAGCAGCCTCTGTTCCTGCTTTGCCTCAGCCTGGTCCGGCTTCGGCCTCTGCAGCTCCGCCTGGTCCAGCCTCCGAGTGTTCAGCTTCGTCTGCTCCAGAGGTCTCCATGCTGTCTGTTCCTGCACGTCCTGTCCGGCCTGCTCGTCCTGTCCGGCCTGCTCGTCCTGCACGTCCTGTCCGGCCTGCACGTCCTGCTCATCCCGTCCGGCCTGCTCGTCCTGCACGTCCTGCTCGTCCCGTCCGGCCTGCTCGTCCTGCACGTCCTCTCCGGCCGATGACTGGACATCATTGCTGTCATGGACGGCCCCCTGAACTACGTCGCCGTCGGTGCCTCCCGCCCGGCCGGCCTCCTGATCTGCTCGGTCGCCGCCGGTGTCTCCCGCCCGGCCGGCCTCCTGATCTGCTCCGTCGCCACCGGTGCCTCCCGCCTGGCCGGCCTCCTGAACTGTTTTCTGGGCTCTTGGGCCGTCAGCCTCCGGGCCGCCCCCCTGAACTGCCCGGGTTTGGACTATTGTGCTGTCAGCCTCCGGGCCGGCCCCCTGAACTTTTTGTGAACTGTTTTTCCTGGCTGCCTGTGCCTGTCGTGAGCCTGTTTTTTGTTCTGTTGCTTTCCGGGCTCCAGTGTTTGCACTTTTTTTTGTTTCTGGCTCAATGTGTTTCATTTGTTTCGAGCCCTCCATCCTGTTTCCCCCGCCGCCCACCCTGGTTGGGTTGTTTTTGGTTTTTTTTGATTTTGAGGTTTTGGTTTGGGCTGTCTGGAAGCCAGCCCTTAAGGGGGGGGTACTGTTAGGATGCCTGGGTCGTTGACCCAGGGTTTTTGAGTGTATGATATTATTCATATTTTCTAGTTTTTTGGTTTCTTTGAATTCTGTCTCATGGTTTATGTCTCTGTCTTCTTTAGTTGCTCTGTCTCCCCTATCACCTACTGGTGATGGCCAGAGGGGCCGATGGCGCGATATGTACCTACCCCAGGGCAGTTGTGGCTACAACTGTAGCTTGCCTCCACCAGTGTGTGAATGTGAGAGTAAATGAATAGTGGAATTTTACAGCGCTTTGAGGGCCCCGAAAAGCGCTATGTAAATGCAATACATTATTATTTTTATTATTATTATATTTTTGCATGCTGTAGCACCATTTGTGGGAGCATTTCAAGTTACTATACATTATATCAATTCAACCGTTATAGCCCAAATTTTAATACTATGTATGCATTAAGTCCATAGAAACTGCATAAATTGCAAAAAAGTGCAATAAACTACAAAAAAATTGAAAATTGTTTTTGTTTTTTTAAACATATATTTCTAGTTAGAGAAATTTAAAAGGCTTATCCCTCAAAACTGTAAATACAAAATAGTTTCCAACCATGGGAAATTTATGTGTCTTCATAGTTTTATTTTTGAGATACACCAATTTTTATATACAGGAGGAAAAAACGAATAATGCAAATATGCAAAAAAAACAAAACAAAAGAAAAACAGCATGTGCATCAAAATAAACTATTTCCAGCAGTGCAATTTGAGTTCTAAGCATCACAGAAACAATACAGTCAAAGTCAAACATAACTTTTAAAAACATCAGTATAGCAAAATGACCCAGAACCGTGACAACTGTGCTAAAATCACTGCGGAAACGAAGCCCGGTATTGTCACGGGAACATCCATCCATTTTCTTCCGCTTATCCGGTGCTGGGTCGAAGGGGCAGCAGCCCAAGCAGAGAAGCCCAGACATCCCACTCCCCAGCCACCTCCTCCAGCTACACCAAGGTGTTCCCAGGCCAGCCGAGAGATATAATCTTTCCAGTATGTCTTGAGTCTGCCCTGGGGCCTCCTCCCAGTGGCACATGCCTGGTAAACCTCACCCAGGAGGCATCCTTATCAGATGCCCGAACCACCTAAACTGGCTGCTTTCGATGTGCAGGAGCAGCGGTTCTACTCTTAGGCCGAATGGCTGAACATTTCACCCTATCTCTAAGGGAGAGGACAGCCACGGTTCGCAGGAAACCCATTTCCACCGTTTGTATCCGCGATCTCATTCTTTAGGTCACTACCCACAGCTCGTGACCATAGGTGAGGGTAGGGACGTAGATCGACCGGTAAATTGAGAGCTTCCCTTTTACACCCAGCTCTCTCTTCACCACAACAGACCGGTACAACATCCGCATCGCTGCAGCCGCTGCACCAATCGGTCTGTCGATCTCCCACTCCCTTCTCCCGTCACTCGTGAACAAAACCCCGAGACCTCCTCCACTTGGGGCAGGAACTCGTCCGGAGTGGGCACTCCACCCTTTTCTAGCTGAGGATCATGTAGGTGCTGATTCTCATTCCCACTGCTTCACACTCGGCTGTGAACCGTTCCAAGGCGAGCTGGAGGCCATCACCCGGAGAAGCTAACAGAACCACATCATCTGCAAAAAGCAGAGATGAGATCCTGAGACCACCAAAGTGAAAGCCTTCCGCCACTTGGCTATGCCTAGAAATTCTGTCCATAAAAATTATGAACAGGATCGGTGACAAAGGGCAGCCCTGGTGGAGCCCATCACCCACCAGAAACGAGTCCGACTTATTGCCAGCTATGCTGACCAAGCTCTTGCAATGGTTGTATAAGGACTGAATGACCCATAGCAACGGGCCAGAAACCCCATACTCCCAGAGCACCCCCCACAGGACCCACCGAGGGACACAGTCAAATGCCTTCTCCAAGTCCACAAAACACATGTAGACTGGTTGGGCAAACTCTCATGCACCCTCAAGTATCGTTGAGAGGATAAAGAGCTGATCCAATGTTCCACGACCAGGACGAAAACCGCATTGTTCCTCCTGCATCCGAGGTTCAAGTAACGGACAGACTCTCCTCTCCAGCACCCTGGCATAGACTTTCCCAGGGAGGCTGAGGAGTGTGATTCCCCTGTAGTTGGAACACCCCCTCTGGTCCCCTTTCTTAAAGATGGGGACCACCACCCCGGACTGCCAGTCCAGGGGTACTGAACCTGATCGCCACACAACATTGTAGAGACATGTCAACCAAGACAGCCCTACAACATCCAGAGCCTTCAGGAACTCGGGGCAGACCTCATCCACCCCAGGGGCTCTGCCACCAAAGAGTTGTTTAACTGCCTCAGTGATCTCGCCCCCAGAGATTGGCAGGTCATCCCCTTCGTCATGTCATGGGAACATGCGTTAATTATTTGGTGATTTATTAAATGTATAAATGATATTATACTTATAACATTATACTTATAACACTTATATTCTAATCTGCTGCTGAGTCTTTTATGCTGATGGAAATGCAGATAACACAGAACATGCAGGAACACCTGTTCAACCAATCATGTTCATTCCACTATGCATTCCTGAAGCGTTCATTTCTTTTACAACAGTGTTGTGTTTGGCTGGTATGTCTTTATTTTCTTTATTCCAGAGATTTTCACTTCTCTGGAATAGTTGGCACTAATAAGGATGATTTTCTGTAAAAGAGTATTTATATGACCAATTAATCAGACTCGTAGATGATGTTAGATTAGTTTGATGCTGCCAACGCTTTTATTTAACCATGCGGGGAAACACTGGGTTAACTTAGAGAGCTGAGAACCAGCTTTGTGTGACTGTTTATCCAGTTCCCAGTGTTAGGGTCAGTGATTCCAGATAACGGAAAGATATCCTGGATATGCTGATCTCACTCTGTAGTATGCAGGGCTCTGAGACAGCAGCTCGACTGTACATTACACTCATGCTTAATATTCACAATGAAAATATTAGTCAAACATCGTGAAGTCTGTATGTGTTTCTAACAAGCTTTGTATAGTTAAACCTAACAGTTACTACATGATGGAAACAACAATGTTATCTGTTTTTATAAAGATTATGCGTGAATACACAGGGCACACTGATTATTGACTATTTATTTCCTCCCCCTTAAACATATTCTTTTTGTTAGTTTAAATTCAGAATTGGCAACTGAAACAAAGTATGTCACATACGAACATCAGGAAATAAAGACCCAATAGATATATTCTCAGTAAATGTCTGTGTTCAACCTGTGAGAGGTGACAGTCAGTGGGGGCTATGACAGTTGTGTACTGGGACCTGCACTTTGCTGGCGGTATAACAGCTTGAGCGCTATTTCAATAATTATTGAAATATTTATTTAATATAATTAATTTACATTTGAAATTAATTAATAAAATATTTATTCAGTCATTCATTTTGTCACTCCTGGCCCTCCATAACGATAAGCGATGACAATATTTGCAAAACTATTTGAACAATCAAATAATGTGTTTGTACATTTGTACAAAACGTATTTGCTACTCAGATTATTTCTTTCAGTCGCTATTGAGACATTATGTGTGTGATGCTTCAGGTAGGGTTCAGTGGCTGTTTTATGTTTGTTTTTACTGTAAGATTTGTGAAATGTGTATATTTTATCAAGTCATATTTGTGTTGGTAAAATCCCCTTGGAATATTTTCCCACAAATAATCATTCTGATGGCTGACCTGAACCAGCTATAAAAGAAAGCATAAATAAATGGATTTAGCATTGAATTTGCCAATGTAAGCCAGTTAAGAGTTTCAATTACAGGAACTGGTACAGAATCACTGGTAAATGGGGGGAATGTGATGCAAAGAAAACAAGGACTCCAGCAAAATATAAAAACTCCCAAAACAATAGCCAGAGTTTTGGTCGCCTTTCTCTCCTTGATACTGGCAGTTTGTCCACACTTTGTGTTCTGGATGCTTCTTGCTTGCCTCAAAGCAACAAAGAAAATCTTTAGGTAGATACAAAGCATTATGGTCACTGGCAGGTAAAATGATAACATGGGTCCAACAGTGCTTTCCATTAGAATGTCAATCAAACATGATTCCTCACATTTTTCATTATTAAATCCAGCAATGGTGACACTAATTCCAATTATCCCAGAAACCCCCCAGCTCATCATGATCATGAACACAACAACACGATGGCTGATTTTAGTTTGATATGTCAGAGGCTGGCAAACAGCATGGTATCTGTCAATAGAAATACAGCAGAGGTTCAGGATGGAACATGTGCTCAGTGAAATATCAAAGGTCCCTCGCACTTTGCAAAACAAACCCTCATGATAAAGACATGAGCTGAGAGAGAATGCCATGCTGAGAGGAAATGCTATAATCCCAACGAGCAGGTCAGCCACAGCAAGAGAGAGGATGAGAGAATTAGTAGGAGTATGGAGCTGTTTGAAGTAAATCACAGAAATTATTACAAGGAGATTTCCACATATTGTTATAACAGACAATAATGCAAGGAATGCATACAAGAATACACACATAATGGAAGGGCTGTTTGTCAGCATGTATTTGGAGTCTTGTATTACATAACAGGGATGTAGATCATTTACAATGTTGGTCATGTTCATACTGACCTTTTGTTTCATAATTAAGCAGCTTAAACCAACAATATGATTTTTTCTGCTGCACTAACCTGGGACTTGACTTGATGTAGATTGTCCTTCAGTGCAGGTCAACTACTGATTGCTAAGAAGAGTGAGAGTCCAGACTGAGTTAAAAGAGGTTGCCAAAGAGGGAAACAGCATTGAGATTTGGTCAATTACACAAGCTCAAAGGATAACAAACAAAACTGGGAGCATCCAGAATACCCGAAGGACTCAATCAGGAGTCTCTTGTCAGAAAAGGTGACAAAAAATATATGAATGAAAAACAAGGTAACGTGTAAACAACGAACTGGAAGGATGAATCATAATTTATTCAAAAGCCATTCTCTCATGCAATTTTCTGGTAATTGTGGTGTTTTGGCATATTTTCTAAATATTAAAGCCATAACACAGGATTCACATTATTTTCATTTTCATCACAGAACTCACCAATAGATTCAAGCTTTGTAAATGGAAACAGGGCCATCTGCATAGAAACTGTTTATCACTGGATATAGAAAGATCCAGAGCATCATGCTGGTTTTGTAATGACTCTTCTTTGCTAGGGAAGTGAACTTACTCTACTACCTTATCCACCAATTGATCTGAAATTGGTGGATAAGGTAGTAGGGTAGATAATTGATGGATAATTCCTTCACTTTAAGGACTCAAAGGTTTTAAGTTTGATTTGTCACCTTCCTTACGTACTCTTTTGGTACAGGAAGTGCTGAATGAAAACAGACCAACCATCAACTAGGGTTAGGGTTAGGGCACAATTCAGTGTTGCTTAAAGAAATATCTAAATAACTGATCACTAATCAGTGCCAGTGTATTTAGATTTAAAAAATATTTAGATTTAATATCAATTTTATATTAGTAAATATTTCAATTTAACATTCAGTCATAACACTTGAATTCAGATGTAAATGTTTGTAAAATTTCCTGTGGAAAAAGGGTGTGTTGAAAACATAATAATCAGAGCCCCATATCCTAAAGATTTTTTTAAACTGTAATTGCTAAAGTTAAGACATATATGGGATGGGTGGGGTTGAGTTGATAATAAATCAGTGCTATCCAGTGACCAATAATAAAAGTTGTCATGTTAAATATAACAAGAAACTAACATCTAACCAGATTATTATGTTTGCAAAGATGGGAATTTCTGCAGAGTAATACTTTATCAAAGGCTGTGTGAATGAGGAAATGAAACCAAGTCAGTCAGCTGGATCAGCTGTAGCAGGACAGGAGGAGTCAGAGAGAAACTCAGAGTTTGTTGAAGATAACTTGCCAGCATGCAGCTTCACTACTCAGGTGACTGTCTCAGAGATCTAGGTAACCCTCTTTGTCGAACAGAAAACCCAGTCGCCCCTATCTTTCACTAAGTCTCCTGTTTAAAAAAAATAATATTTTTATTAAATTGTTGGTAATCAGGCAACAAAGAAAATAATAAATTTAACAGTTACATATCAAAACCAGTCACACTTTTAAAGAGTCGATTGTGCCGTTCGAACTATAGAATTAGGGTAGAGTTAGGGTTACAATTGTCACCTATGATGGCTCAAACCCCAAAAGTTTAAAAAAAAAGTCTAAAATTAGATCAAAGTAAAATTCATTAACAAATAAGGAAATTTACTTTTTCATTTATTTGTTGAGGAAAATTACCCACTAGTGAGTGACAAAGGTTTGTAAATCTCTCTCTATATATATTTTAAAAAGTTCTCGCCACTCGCCATGCAGGTGGTCTTTATCCTTTAAGCCTGGATCTTCTACCAAAGGCTTGGGAGCTTGAGGGTCCTGCACAGGATCTTTGCTGTTCCTAGGACTGCGCTCTTTGGGACAGAGATCTTGGATGTTGTTCCTGCGATCTTTTGGAGCAACTCACCCAGCCATGGGTCACTGTCCCAAGTGCTCTGACTACCAGGGATCACTGTTGCCCCACTGTTGCCTTCACCCTCCACCACGTTGTTTCATCCTGGATAGTGGTTCTGACACTCACTAGTTCTCAGTCACCTTCCTTAGCATACAATCTCAGGGTACTGGATTTGGGGTAAAAACTTCCATGCACGGTAAAAAGCTTTCTTATTTTGATGATAGTGGCTTCTACCTCTTTCTTTGGTCATCTTATTATCTAAGCAGGGTATCTGATAACCGGCAGGACGTAGGTGTTAATTGTATTCTTTCCATTCAGCTGACTCCTCAGGACTTGCCGGACCCTCTGCAGGTATGTTGCAGCTTTCCTAGCAGCCTTTTCATGATTTGCCTTTGTGATTGGATTTGCCTTCCAATAGCACAATGCCCTTTGTTGTGACTACTTTTCCTCTCATTGATACCATACAATTACACTCCGATATCATTGCTATAAGTGCTCGTGGTTGTGTATCACTTGTTTGATATCACATTCACTCCTTAATGTCATGAGGTTAGCTTCTAGAATGAAAATTTTCATCAAACAAATTGAATGACATATAATGATTAAAAAAACAAAACAAAACTGCATGACATCTGAAGCAAATATCACAAATTTTAAAAAATGAAGCAAATATGTTTCTGGATCCAGGAGCAAAATGCATGCATATTATGAATTTAGTTCCTGACAGCCCTGTTTGGTTTTCTGTTTACTTTTGGATGCCTCATTTCATGAGCTGTCTAAAAGAATAGTGTACTTTCTAAACATATGTTATCAGCCAATTTGTAAATAACAGATTAGATTGTGTTACAGTATTAGCTAAGGTGAGAGCACAGATTGAGCTCAGATAAAAGCACTATACAGGGAGTGCAGAATTATTAGGCAAGTTGTATTTTTGAGGAATAATTCTATTATTGAACAACAACCATGTTCTCAATGAACTCAAAAAACTCATTAATATCAAAGCTGAATGTTTTTGGAAGTAGTTTTTAGTTTGTTTTTAGTTTTAGCTATTTTAGGGGGATATCTGTGTCCGCAGGTGACTATTACTGTGCATAATTATTAGGCAACTTAACAAAAAACAAATATATACCCATTTCAATTATTTATTTTTAACAGTGAAACCAATATAACATCTCCACATTCACAAATATACATTTCTGACATTCAAAAACAAAACAAAAACAAATCAGCGACCAATATAGCCACCTTTCTTTGCAAGGGCACTCAAAAGCCTGCCATCCATGGATTCTGTCAGTGTTTTGATCTGTTCACCATCAACATTGCGTGCAGCAGCAACCACAGCCTCCCAGACACTGTTCAGAGAGGTGTACTGTTTTCCCTCCTTGTAAATCTCACATTTGATGATGGACCACAGGTTCTCAATGGGGTTCAGATCAGGTGAACAAGGTGGCCATGTCATTAGTTTTTCTTCTTTTATACCCTTTCTTGCCAGCCACGCTGTGGAGTACTTGGACTCGTGTGATGGAGCATTGTCCTGCATGAAAATCACGTTTTTCTTGAAGGATGCAGACTTCTTCCTGTACCACTGCTTGAAGAAGGTGTCTTCCAGAAACTGGCAGTAGGACTGGGAGTTGAGCTTGACTCCATCCTCAACCCAAAAAGGCCCCACAAGCTCATCTTTGATGATACCAGCCCAAACCAGTACTCCACCTCCACCTTGCTGGCGTCTGAGTCGGACTGGAGCTCTCTGCCCTTTACCAATCCAGCCATGGGCCCATCCATCTGGCCCATCAAGACTCACTCTCATTTCATCAGTCCATAAAACCTTGGTAGTAGGCTTCCGAGCCTATACAGCTTGGAGTAAGACAACATGCATGAAGAGGATGATGTGGACAAAATACTCATTTGCCTAATAATTCTGCACTCCCTGTAAAGTTAGCCTTGCAGATCTTTATTTATTTTAGCACCACTGGCAAGAGTTTCTAAATTAATCTTACTGACACCAACCATTAGTATGACACTGCAGGCGTGTTTTTGATTTTGATATTCTGTAACAGAGGTGCACAAAGCACTTTGTGAATAGACAAACAGACTGGCCACACAGTAAACACCTGTCAGCCAGTTTGAGATACTGAACAAGGACCATGAGGCACTGTCTGCCTTAACAAGGACAATCAACATAGTTTTTTACACATTCAACAAATGTATCAACCTACATTCGTCTCAGCGAAACCAGACAGACAGGTGTGTGACTCACACAAAGCAATGAAGGAAGTTTATTTTCTCATGTGGTGCTGTAGTCTGTATGTGAAGGTGTGCTCTTGTATTGTTCCAGGGATTTCTTGATCCATGTTTGAGGTACTGAGTCATAGGTTTTCTTGTAGTGAATCCAGACTACAGTTTGTCAGTTTGATCTATCTACTAGTAGCAGGTGTTCTGCCCCTCTGATGTTTCTGTCAATTCCTTTCTGTGCCCGTTTCATGTATTGAGCCATGTGCCTGTTATTCATAGTCACTATGTTGCTTGACAAGGGCTTCCATACTAAGGCAGGTTATTGGCCAGTAGATGGCTGGTAGTTGGATGGGACCAATGCCTTCTGGCGATCCTTGGGGACCAGGACTGTCCGGCATTTGGTTAGCCACTCTGGATGTGTCTTCTCCCTTACCAGCAGGTTCATTTGTGCCACCAGACACTGGTGCCTCTTTAGCTTGTAAGTGCGAATCATGTCAGGGAATGGTTCTGTCCAACTCTTCATACAATATTGGCGACTCTGTCTTGGATGTCTGCCACTGCGATGGTTATTGGATACTAGTCAGAGAGTTTGCTCTAGTCTGCTCTTAGATCTACTAGCCACTGAGCAGTGTCGCTATTAGTGGTGTGCGGATCGATGTTGAAATATCAATTCTTCCGATACCAGTAATTTATGTTCTAGAATCGATTCTCATATTAAAATATTGATATTTTAGTACTTTGGGAAAAATTTGTAGTTTTTTATTAACAGGAACACAGTGGAAAGAAACTGTATCATTCGGATCGTCTAAATTGGAAGGAACTACTTCCTGGCCAGGGGCCTTTCATAGTCATATGCAAAATATGGCTGTATAAATGTGTCGCAGCCCCTGGCCAGTGTTGCCAACTCCTCAGTAAGGAAAATCACTATTGGCTATCCTAAAAATCTCTAGAAGTCGCTATAGCATAATCGCCTAATTTGCATAATTGGTCATGCTAATGCAATTGTAACCCACGTTGTAGGAGAGAAAAAAAGAAGAGACATAAAGTGAGTAAAAAAACGTCCTAAATGCATTTAGAATTTATTTAGAACTACAAATTAAATTTCTTTTAGCGATTATTGTTTTTTTTAATGTCCCAATTCTAACCCTGCTCCTTTATCTGGGCTTGGACCGGCAAAAGTGACCCGAAATAGGCACTCTGGTGGAGTTACTTTGTGCGTGTGTGTGTGTGTGTGTGTGTGTGTATTAGAGATGGACCGATCCAATATTACGTATCGGTATCGGTCCGATACTGACCTAAATTACTGGATCGGATATCGGAGAAAAATAAAAAATGTAATCCGATCCATTAAATATCACGAAAGCACCTCACAAAACTTGCAACACACCATAACTCACCTCAGAACGTTAGCACGTCAGAGCAGTATGCATCACGTGATAGAGCGGCTGTGGCATGCGGGACCTGTCGGTGGTCTGGATAGCATTTGGAGCTTCGCTAGCAACCCGGCATTTCATCTCCGACAAAGTTATCCCGAGAGAGTGCGTGTGTGTGTTTAAGTAGTTTTAAACCTTGTGAGCCACAAAACAACATAACAGTAAAAGAAGAATTGATTGCGTTACAGTCATTGCGGGAGCAGATGTTTCACTCATGCACGATCATTTGCAGTTTGGACGCATAGGTGGGAACATTTCCTGCCCTGATAGCAGCTGGGGGAGGACTATCCTCTGCCCGTGAGCGCTTTGGCACGGGCGAGGTGCCCACGGCAGCACCCGCTGCTTGTTGAGAAGAGCAATACATACTTTCACGTCAAAAGTTGTCATAAATAAGTCTCCAATAACACCAGAAAAAGTCACCAGATTTGATTTCATTTTGTAATTTTGCAAACAGTTTTTAATCAGGTTCGTACAGTTTTTGGGTTCGGGGACCTTAGTTTTACTGCAACTTAGTATAGTATGGTACTGTAACATGTAGCTGACTTCACTAATGAACTGAATGAAACAAAACATGTAATAATCACAACCTACAGTTTTGAGATTTTCTTTTTTTTATTATTTTCTTGTAATATTACATTTTTGCTTCATTTCTATTTTTTCCCTAAAATTATTATAAATAACAGCACTAGTAATATACAACATGATTTAAAATAAATAGTTTAATATGTGATATCGCAAATGCAAACTCATGTGTTAATTATGTCTCAAAAGCCTTCAATTAAAGGTGTGATTATATAGTGTGAGTGTTGCTGGGCCCTGAGTTAATATGTTACCAAACAACAAAACACAAATATATTCTCCTTCCCCAGATCATCTGAGGTGTTCAACATGGGGCCTCACTCTTTTCCAGCAATAAGAAAACTAAAAAAACAAACCAATTAATGGCCATTTAATGATCTGAATAAAGTGAGATTATACCCACAGAGTCCAATTAACATGAAAAAAGGAAAACAGACAAGGGAATACATTCTGTGTATTTACAGGAACACATCAGAAGTTCACTTCATCCACTTTATGATGTTAGTTACACAGATATCTAAACAAATAACTATCAGATGAGTACCACAACTTTGGAACTTTTATAGCACTGGTAATATGTATAATAATACATAATACATAATAATTCACATAAACTTACCACAAAACATAAACCATGTTTGGCTCATTGTTTCTTTTCTGCAACAATGGTTCTTGGCAATAAATTTCATACAACTGGAAAGCCCATTTATTTGCTTTTTACCAATGAACAATAAAATATGAAATTTTTCATCAAACAAATTGAATGACAAATAATGATTAAAAAAAAAACCTGCATGACATCCTAAGAAAATATCACAAACTAATAAAATAAAGCAGATATGTTTCTGGATCCAGGAGCTAAATTCATGCATATTATGAGAGAAATTTTCAGCTTTGGCACCCCTGTTTGGTTTTCTGTTTGTAAACACCAGTCAGCCAATTTGAGGTACTGAACGAAGACCATGAAGCACTGTCTGCCTCAACAAGGACAATCATCAACACATTGAAGTTTATCAAGTGTATGATCTACATTTCTCTCAAAGAAACCAGACAGACAGGTTTGTGACTCAGAAAAAGCAATCAAGGAAGTTGGTTTCTCATTTGATGCTGTAGTCTGTATGTGAAGGTGTGCTGCAAAATGATTATGCTCTCCTGACAAGTCTTTACAGACGGCAACAACGGCAAAAGGTAATCAACTTAATGTAGAATTTCCATTACTCAGTGTCTTTTATATTGTATTATTATTCCTCATATCTTCAGACCAATTTTAAAAAAGTATCCTAGAATGTTTACCGACATATCTAATATCTAGCTATTTTGCATTTACTGCTATTCAATAAGCAGTATTGAATAGCATACTGCTATTCAATACTGCTAAAAACAAACAAATAATTAACTTTGCAAGCAAACAGCAATAAATTAAATATTTTGAATGTTTGCTATCTGTTATCGTATGACAGCTGAGACAAGCTTACAACTCCTGCTACCCCGAATAGGGTATGTTGAGGAAGACGGATGGATTAATGGATGGATGACTGGAGATAATACACTTTTCAATTCAGGAACAAACATCAATAACATCAATAACAGATCTGAGACAGTCTCAGAGGTACACATGCGCATTAACTTATTAGTTTCCTTTTAAAATAAATTATAAGACAAAAATCTTATTAGTAAGGTTGAACTCTTGGGGTATAATGCTGCTAAGAACTGTGAAACATTTATCGAGTTCATGATCCAGAACAACTAATAAACATGGGCACATTTCAGCAAACCAAACGCCATCTTCACCTAAACTTAGACTAATCTCATTGTTACGTTTTTATGTCTGTGTCATTTCTCTAACTTAACGAAATTCTACTCACACTGTGCTGCTAAAGTCAAAAGTGAGTGTTTAAATTCTTTACCACTGCTGTACATATAAACTTTATTTTAATGCACTTAGTATGTATTGCACAACACAGTGTCTTTGTTTCAAAGTCTGACATAATTAGGGATGGGTATCGAAACCCGGTTCTTGTTGAGAACTGGTTCCCACTGTTTCAATTCCTTGAAATTGTTTGCCATTTTTGCAAATGATTCCCTTATCGATTCCAGTTACCGCGAATGATGTCACCACGTTGCGGAGCATCATTTACCTGTCAGGAAACACGGCGCCTAAGCAGCTCAAACGCTCAAATGTTTTGTTATACTTTATGAGAACAGGGCAACTTGCAATACTTGCAAAGTAGATATTTCATTTAAGGGAGGAAACACTATGAATATGCAAAAGCATTTGCTCGCGATGACCTTAAATGAATGTCATGTTTTTAACCCTTTCAGGCTCAAATTAAGTTTTTTGTTGCTAATGCACAACCAAGTCCTGCAGTGGTACTTCTGAGTAAAACAAACTCATAAAATATGTATGTGGGGTAATCAGATTGTTAGTTTTTAACTGTTGCAAATCGGCAACGCCTGCCTCGAGACGGTTAATTCCGCCCCGGACTCGTGAATCACAACCCAGCAGCAGCGGTGACGTTGCACGTCCTCTCCCGTTAATGCAGCAGGTAAATAATCAACTAACAGTGCATATTATGTTAGCGCGATCTGCCTTATTACAAAACCTGCCATTACTGTGTGTTGCATTTAGGTGACCATGATGAGAGAGAGCCTCTCTCATCATGGTCAGAGTCTGGCTGGCTCAGATGCTGGCAGTTCTCGCTGCAGTCTACGGGTAGTGTCTCCTTTCAGGCCAGGATAGACGAATGTCACCGAGCAGTGACTAAGTTTGAGGTAAAAGGCTTGCACTGTTAGGAGTTGGGTTCTGGTTATGTGGTGTTTTTGTCTGTATGTGTTTTTTGGTGCCTCCCTTTTTGTATAGGTAGGCGGGGCAGTGAGTCACTGAACCTGGCACACCTGTTAATCATCAGATGCAGTAGCGGTTTTTGATACGGGCAACACAGGCGGTTGCCTCCCAGTCAACACACATATGTGGGGCCTAAATAGGGAGCAGCAGGGCTAATATTTGGGGCCCACTTGGGAAACCCAACTAGGGTCCAGCTAATTTTGTCCTCAGTTTCCATGGTGGCCCCAAATGTGTTTTCCTAGATGGGTTTATGCTGGGTCCGAGATAAGCCCCAAATCAGGCCCAGCCAACAAATGAGTATGGGGCCCAGATGGGTAGAAGCGGGTCTGATGGTTGGGGCCCACTTGGGCTACCCACCTGGCACCCAGCTACTTTTGTCCTCAGTTTCCATGATGTCCCCAAATGTGTTTTCCCAGATGGGTTAATGATGGGTCCCAAATCAGCCCAAGACAACAAATGAGTATGGGGCCCAGATGGATAGAAGCAGGTCTGATACTTGGGGCCCACTTGGGTTACCAACCTGGGACACAGCTATTTTTGTCTTCAGTTTCCATGGTGGCCCCAAGTGTGTTTGTCCAGATGGATAATGAAAGTAAGCTATAATTTAAATCACCTGTACAACAAAGCCAGTTTATCTTTTTTCCCCCTACAGTTTATAGGAAAAACAAATGCAGCAAACCACAGCTTCTCACTCATTCACCAATCCATTGGTCCTGAAAGAAATAAAATAAAATAAAAAATTAGTGCATTTTTACAAACAAAATCAGATTTGCGATAGTACTGGAGTTGTTTTGGAGGTTGTGCTGTTCAAGTTGTTTGACCTCCTACATTGAACTCTTTGAAGACCATGAGTATTCATGGAAACAGAAAAGCTATTTACAAAAGAATTTACCAAGTAGGCACTCAAAAATACATACATGAGGTGATCAGGGGAAGTGGAGACACATGAGGACACAGCTGACTAGAATGAAACATAATGACATTAAAGGGGAGAGTAAGACTAAACACGTAGTACAAAGAAACACAAGACCTTTCAAAGTAAAATAGGAGCCATGGGGACACGAGCCAACAGGGAATACTTAACACAGGGATGACTACATAAATGGATCTACTAAAATGGCCTGTATTTATATAGCGCTTTACTAGTCCCTAAGGACCCCAAAGCTCTTTACATATCCAGTCATCCACCCATTCACACACACATTCACACACTGGTGATGGCAAGCTACATTGTAGCCACAGCCACCCTGGGGCGCACTGACAGAGGCGAGGCTGCCGGACACTGGCGCCACCGGGCCCTCTGACCACCAGTAGGCAACGGGTGAAGTGTCTTGCCCAAGGACACAACGACCGAGACTGTCCAAGCCGGGGCTGGAACCGGCAACCTTCCGATTACAAGGCGAACTCCCAACTCTTAAGCCACGATCGCCCGTACTAAACAAGGACTAAAGAAACCTAGAAGCTAATACCAAAGAAAGAAACAATGAATATCAAAATACAAGGAAAACTCAGAACGCTGGGTCACACGACCCAATACCGTGACACAACTGTGATAAGAAAATTAAAACATCAGTTACTATTTTCTTATCTAAGAACAGGAAAGATTATTGGCACTCGAAAATTCTCATACTGTATATAGACCATCAGTTTGTTTTTTTTTTGTTTTTTTGCTTAGTATTACAAGTTGTTGACTTTGACAATGTTTGAAGTTAAACATTTTTAAAACTCTTTTTGCATGCTAACAAATAAACATTGACAGGCTGGTATGATCCAAATACATTTAAACAAGTTGAGCAGCACATTATCTGGAAGGCAGAAAACCTTTTGCCTTCCTGTTGGCTCCCATTTACAGAAGGAATGCCAGCAGCATGACACCGTGAATAATGACTGATTTTATTAAAAGGACTTGTGTTCTTTTCTCTTTAGTTAGGATGACATTACGAAAGGTCTCGTTATGCATCGTTATTCTCCTAGTCATATGGAACTGTCTTAAGTATGAGAGACACAGAGAGTTTCTAAACGGCTTCTTTGAGGTAAGAATAAAAATGAATGAATGTATAATGATGAAAAAATACAGTGAAACAAATCATTTTCCTCCTGGATTTTCTTCCAGGAGTTAATGAGTGCAGAAGAATCCAGCATTCATCTAAGACAAAAAAGAGAAAGTGAGTAAAATTTTAGCAGTGTTACTACAACGTAACACATGTTTGTTGACTAATAATATAATTATATAATAATTGTATTTATTAAAAAAAAACATGCTTTGCAAAGTGCTTTGAAAAACTAGACGAGGGAGGATATTCATTGAACAAGCAGAACTGAATAGCAATAACAGTATCTGACCAAGTCCAGATTATCAGTGTTATCATTGCTTTATGGTTTGTTTGGGTTTTTCTTTTTTTTTCTTTTTTTTTTACCTTTAGCTTCATCAAATTCCACTGAGTATGAGTTCCAAGCTGTTATAAGCGTCTCAAATCTGGAACAATTCCAGTCGATACTGAACACTCTCAGTTTTCCTTTATTGATCAACGCCACTGGTGAGATTACAAGCATTAATACAACAACAGGTAAAACATCCATTTATGTTGCATCTCCATTGCTTGCCAATCTTATTCACTCAAAGTGTCACATTGAACCATTATGTTGTGTTCTTCTCAGTGTGTTCACCAAACATAACTGCAAACATAACTGGATACCAGTGCACATGTGAGGAGAGCTTTGCTTGGTCATATAACAAATGCATTGACTATGAGGCCTGTGATGCCATCGTTGGTGATACGTGTGGATGCATTAATGGACTTCCAGCAGATGGGCAATATTGCCAGTTAAAAACCAGCAACCCAGGTAGGACTAGGCAAACATGTATCACATGTGATAGGTAAGTAAGTATGTAATGTAAATGTAAGTACATTTATCCAGCATATGTAGTTAGACTGAGGTTTCTACGTCTGTGTTCTGTGAAAGGATTTAATAATGTAATTTTTTTTAAAGTGTAAAGGATGTTGATTTGAATTCTATCCTAAAGCCATAACTTTGTATAAAAATGGTAAATGGCCTATATTTATATAGCGCTTTACTAGTCCCTAAGGACCCCAAAGCGCTTTACATTTCCAGTCATCCACCCATTCACACACACACATTCACACACTGGTGATGGCAAGCTACATTGTAGCCACAGCCACCCTGGGGCGCACTGACAGAGGCGAGGCTGCCGGACACTGGCGCCACCGGGCCCTCTGACCATTTGTATGAAATTTGTTTCAAAGGTTCAGTTGCTGTAGTCGCAATTTTCTTGTTTACGAGAGATATTTAAAATTTATGAAATGTTTGAGAAATGTTTTCTCAGTGTCAACACTAGCTACACCAACAGCTATATCACTAAATGATATATCACATGTAATTTAATATACATGTGATATATGTATTTCACATGTATATTATATATATAAAGTTGCAACAGAAGTAGAAACATCTTAAATAAATGGGGTGCTTGTTTTTTGTCTCCTCTACAGTGCCAGTGGAGTATGATATAGACTTTAACTTGCTCTTGCCAGTATCCAGCCTGCCCCCAAATTTCATTGATCTGTTCAGAAACTATGTGGGAAATTTGTCATTCCCCAAAACCATCACTCAGTCTTTAATAATTGAAGACTTGAACTTCACCACATGTAAGAATTTTGTACTCGGACAGATTTAAATGTGTTCATACTCTGGTGCATGGTTTATGAGGTGTGTTTTGTCATTGTTTTGAATGACTTTAACAGGGTGCTATCCAAACTCCACCGGAGGAATGCAGTGTCAGTGTGAGGACCACTTTGGTTGGTCATGTGAAAAGTGTGGCCTATACGGTGCATGCAGTAATGTCACCTCACAAGCCTGTGGATGCATCAAAGGGCTTCCTCCTGATGGAGAGTTCTGTGAACCAAACGCAAGTAAGAAACTTGCAGCTGAAGAAATAGAAGCATTTTAGAAGCATATTAAAGAAACATTAACAGATCTAACATTGCGTTCAAAATCCTTACTGACATTGCTATGACATAACCAAAAGTTATGGACTTCCTCTGAGTGGGGAGTTCTGGCAACCAATCACAAGTAAGAACTGCAATTGTCTAGCTGTTGGATGAACAGACTACTTCCTTTATCAAATAGATGAATGAACTTTTCAACTGTCTAATTACCTAACATTGTGTTATGAGAGTGATTAGACATTAGATATGAATTGCTCTGTGGAAACACACTGCAATTAATTCTATACTCACTGTATTAAAGAAACATTAACACACCTAACACTGCATTCATTATCCTTGCTGACATTTCTATGGCATAACCAAAGTCATGGCGTTTAGTTTCTGGCTTGAAATTTAAATAATTAAACATGTAATGTTTTTCCACAGGCGTCGCTCCTTGCCCAACACCACCTCCTGGTATGACAAACATCTTTGTTATTCATTTGTGGAAGCACAGTTCAATTCATTCTATACACACTGTATTAAATTATCTGATTGTTTGTGTTCAAAGACACAAATGATCTTGTTATGTTTAATTTGTATTTTGGGTGTGTTATCAAATATCAATATGTAAGAAATTATTTTTACAATGGAAAGTGTATACAATATGTTATTTAGAGAGAAAAACGTGGAGGCCATCAATTTGGCAACAAAGAAAACACTTTCAAAAGATATGGCTACTGTTGTGCTTTAGCTCAGCCGCTGCTAATTTTCTAAAACTTACCAAGTAGCTTTTTAGGCATTGACCTAAACCCATGTGTTGGTAATGGATAAACCTGGACAAGTAACATACTTTAATAAGTAATGCATTCTTAAATGATAAAGGTATTTGAAAATCTGTAACATGCATGAGTCGAACTTGGGTCAGTTTTACATTTTCACGTAAATATAGTTTCCCATCATTGCAACAGTTGTATGTGATGGATTTCCTCTTTTCTCCTTCACAGCACCAGTGGACTTTGATATAGACCTTGAACTGCACATCCCAGCATCTAGTGTGCCCCAGAATTTCAGTGTTGTGCTCAGAAATATTCTGAGAAATTTCTCCTTCCCCAAAATCATCACTGGGTCTTTAACACTGAAAGACTTGAACTTCACCACATGTAAGGACCTGATCTTATTTGACTTCCAACACTCCAACACATTTAATGCTGTTCATATGGTGCTGTATGACTTGTGAACTGTGTTTTGTTATTCTTTTAAATGTCTTGAAAAGGGTGCTATCCAAACTCCACTGGAGGACTCCAGTGTCAGTGTGAAGACCAGTTTGCTTGGTCATGTGGCAAGTGTGATGAGTACAGCACATGCAGTAATGTCACCTCACAAACCTGTAATTGCATAAAGGGATTTCCTCTGAGTGGGGAGTTCTGTCAACCAATCACAAGTAAGAACTGATATCATCTTGCTGTTGGATGAACAGACTACTGCCTTTATCAAATAAATGAATGAACTTTTCAACTGTCTAATTACCTAACATTGTGTTATGAGAGTGATTAGACATTAGATATGAATTGCTCTGTGGAAACACACTGCAATTAATTCTATACTCACTGTATTAAAGAAACATTAACACACCTAACACTGCATTCATTATCCTTGCTGACATTTCTATGACATAACCAAAGTCATGGTGTTTAGTTTCTGGCTTGAAATTTAAATAGTTAAACATGTAATGTTTTTCCACAGGTGTCGCTCCTTGCCCAACACCACCTCCTGGTATGACAAACATCTTTGTTATTCATTTGTGGAAGCACAGTTCAATTCATTCTATACACACTGTATTAAATTATCTGATTGTTTGTGTTCAAAGACACAAATGATCTTGTTATGTTTAATTTGTATTTTGGGTGTGTTATCAAATATCAATATGTAAGAAATTATTTTTACAATGGAAAGTGTATACAATATGTTATTTAGAGAGAAAAACGTGGAGGCCATCAATTTGGCAACAAAGAAAACACTTTCAAAAGATATGGCTACTGTTGTGCTTTAGCTCAGCCGCTGCTAATTTTCTAAAACTTACCAAGTAGCTTTTTAGGCATTGACCTAAACCCATGTGTTGGTAATGGATAAACCTGGACAAGTAACATACTTTAATAAGTAATGCATTCTTAAATGATAAAGGTATTTGAAAATCTGTAACATGCATGAGTCGAACTTGGGTCAGTTTTACATTTTCACGTAAATATAGTTTCCCATCATTGCAACAGTTGTATGTGATGGATTTCCTCTTTTCTCCTTCACAGCACCAGTGGACTTTGATATAGACCTTGAACTGCACATCCCAGCATCTAGTGTGCCCCAGAATTTCAGTGTTGTGCTCAGAAATATTCTGAGAAATTTCTCCTTCCCCAAAATCATCACTGGGTCTTTAACACTGAAAGACTTGAACTTCACCACATGTAAGGACCTGATCTTATTTGACTTCCAACACTCCAACACATTTAATGCTGTTCATATGGTGCTGTATGACTTGTGAACTGTGTTTTGTTATTCTTTTAAATGTCTTGAAAAGGGTGCTATCCAAACTCCACTGGAGGACTCCAGTGTCAGTGTGAAGACCAGTTTGCTTGGTCATGTGGCAAGTGTGATGAGTACAGCACATGCAGTAATGTCACCTCACAAACCTGTAATTGCATAAAGGGATTTCCTCTGAGTGGGGAGTTCTGTCAACCAATCACAAGTAAGAACTGATATCATCTAGCTGTTGGATGAACAGACTACTGCCTTTATCAAATAAATGAATGAACTTTTCAACTGTCTGATTACCTAACATTGTGTTATGAGAGTGATTAGACATTAGATATGAATTGCTCTGTGGAAACACACTGCAATTAATTCTATACTCACTGTATTAAAGAAACATTAACACATCTAACACTGCATTCATTATCCTTGCTGACATTTCTATGACATAACCAAAGTCATGGTGTTTAGTTTCTGGCTTGAAATTGAAGTAATTAAACATATAATGTTTTTCCACAGGCGTCGCTCCTTGCCCAACACCACCTCCTGGTATGACAAACATCTTTGTTATTCATTTGTGGAAGCACAGTTCAATTCATTCTATACACACTGTATTAAAGAAACATTGACAGATCTAACACTGCGTTCATTATTTGCAAATTCTTTAAATGTGACACACATTTATACATTCTTATTCTTTAAAAGAATACTGTACAGGATGTTCTAAATATCACCTCTATTGTTTCTTTGTATGCCTGAGATATAGTGTAAACTCTTAAAACATAAAAAATTGTATTTGAAGAAACACCAGACGAACTGAGCATCCCAGTCTCATGGCAGTTTGTGAAGTCATCACTACAGAATTATCTGATTGTTTCTGTTCAAAGACACAAATGATCTTGTTATGTTTCATTTGTATTTTGGGTGTGTTATTAATTATCAATATGTAAGAAATTATTTTTACAATGGAAAGTGTATACAATATTTTATTTAGAGAGAAAAACATGGAGGCCATCAATTTGGCAACAAAGAAAACACTTTCAAAAGATATGGCTACTGTTGTGCTTTAGCTCAGCCGCTGCTAATTTTCTAAAACTTACCAAGTAGCTTTTTAGGCATTGACCTAAACCCATGTGTTGGTAATGGATAAACCTGGACAAGTAACATACTTTAATAAGTAATGCATTCTTAAATGATAAAGGTATTTGAAAATCTGTAACATGCATGAGTCGAACTTGGGTCAGTTTTACATTTTCACGTAAATATAGTTTCCCATCATTGCAACAGTTGTATGTGATGGATTTTCCCCTTTTCTCCTTCACAGCACCAGTGGACTTTGATATAGACCTTGAACTGCACATCCCAGCATCTAGTGTGCCCCAGAATTTCAGTGTTGTGCTCAGAAATATTCTGAGAAATTTCTCCTTCCCCAAAATCATCACTGGGTCTTTAACACTGAAAGACTTGAACTTCACCACATGTAAGGACCTGATCTTATTTGACTTTTGCACTCCAACACATTTAATGCTGTTCATATGGTGCTGTATGACTTGTGAACTGTGTTTTGTTATTCTTTTAAATGTCTTGAAAAGGGTGCTATCCAAACTCCACTGGAGGACTCCAGTGTCAGTGTGAAGACCAGTTTGCTTGGTCATGTGGCAAGTGTGATGAGTACAGCACATGCAGTAATGTCACCTCACAAACCTGTAATTGCATAAAGGGATTTCCTCTGAGTGGGGAGTTCTGTCAACCAATCACAAGTAAGAACTGATATCATCTAGCTGTTGGATGAACAGACTACTGCCTTTATCAAATAAATGAATGAACTTTTCAACTGTCTGATTACCTAACATTGTGTTATGAGAGTGATTAGACATTAGATATGAATTGCTCTGTGGAAACACACTGCAATTAATTCTATACTCACTGTATTAAAGAAACATTAACACATCTAACACTGCATTCATTATCCTTGCTGACATTTCTATGACATAACCAAAGTCATGGTGTTTAGTTTCTGGCTTGAAATTGAAGTAATTAAACATATAATGTTTTTCCACAGGCGTCGCTCCTTGCCCAACACCACCTCCTGGTATGACAAACATCTTTGTTATTCATTTGTGGAAGCACAGTTCAATTCATTCTATACACACTGTATTAAAGAAACATTGACAGATCTAACACTGCGTTCATTATTTGCAAATTCTTTAAATGTGACACACATTTATACATTCTTATTCTTTAAAAGAATACTGTACAGGATGTTCTAAATATCACCTCTATTGTTTCTTTGTATGCCTGAGATATAGTGTAAACTCTTAAAACATAAAAAATTGTATTTGAAGAAACACCAGACGAACTGAGCATCCCAGTCTCATGGCAGTTTGTGAAGTCATCACTACAGAATTATCTGATTGTTTCTGTTCAAAGACACAAATGATCTTGTTATGTTTCATTTGTATTTTGGGTGTGTTATTAATTATCAATATGTAAGAAATTATTTTTACAATGGAAAGTGTATACAATATTTTATTTAGAGAGAAAAACATGGAGGCCATCAATTTGGCAACAAAGAAAACACTTTCAAAAGATATGGCTACTGTTGTGCTTTAGCTCAGCCGCTGCTAATTTTCTAAAACTTACCAAGTAGCTTTTTAGGCATTGACCTAAACCCATGTGTTGGTAATGGATAAACCTGGACAAGTAACATACTTTAATAAGTAATGCATTCTTAAATGATAAAGGTATTTGAAAATCTGTAACATGCATGAGTCGAACTTGGGTCAGTTTTACATTTTCACGTAAATATAGTTTCCCATCATTGCAACAGTTGTATGTGATGGATTTTCCCCTTTTCTCCTTCACAGCACCAGTGGACTTTGATATAGACCTTGAACTGCACATCCCAGCATCTAGTGTGCCCCAGAATTTCAGTGTTGTGCTCAGAAATATTCTGAGAAATTTCTCCTTCCCCAAAATCATCACTGGGTCTTTAACACTGAAAGACTTGAACTTCACCACATGTAAGGACCTGATCTTATTTGACTTTTGCACTCCAACACATTTAATGCTGTTCATATGGTGCTGTATGACTTGTGAACTGTGTTTTGTTATTCTTTTAAATGTCTTGAAAAGGGTGCTATCCAAACTCCACTGGAGGACTCCAGTGTCAGTGTGAAGACCAGTTTGCTTGGTCATGTGGCAAGTGTGATGAGTACGGCGCATGCAGTAATGTTACCTCACAAACCTGTGATTGCATAAAGGGATTTCCTCCTGATGGAGAATTCTGTGAACCAGTCACAAGTAAGGACCTTGTCGTTTTTATAACAAGATGTATTTTTTTTATTCACTTTAAATTCATCAAGTTTGCGTCATGAGTGTTCTCCGTGTCACTAAAACAATATAAGGAATTCTTGAATGTTTCTCCACAGATATCATTCCCTGTCCACCAATGCCAAACACAACAACACCAGATCCTACAACTACAACACCAATGCCAAACACAACAACACCAGATCCTACTACTACAACACCAATGCTAAACACAACAACACCAGATCCTACAACTACAACACCAATGCCAAACACAACAACACCAGATCCTACAACTACAACACCAATGCCAAACACAACAACACCAGATCCTACTACTACAACACCAATGCTAAACACAACAACACCAGACCCTACTATAACAACACCAATGCTAAACACAACAACACCAGATCCTACTACAACAACACCAATGCTAAACACAACAACACCAGATCCTACTATAACAACACCAATGCTAAACACAACAACACTGATTCCAAACACAACTACACCAGATCCTACTACAACAAAACCATTACCAACAACTGCACCAACACCAATTCTAACCAATACAACAATTCTGATGCCAAATACAACCACACCAATGACAGACACAACAACAACACGGGTTTCGAGTACTACAAGAGTGCCAACTACTACAACCACAGCGATGTCAACTACAACAACAACAGCAAACACAACTACTACAATAACACCAACTACTGCTTCTGTTACAACAGATCAATTGACCATAAATGTGGAATTTAGTGACACATACAATAATCCAAACAGTGTTTTTTTCAGAAATGTTAGCACTGCTGTAAGTCTCAATTAGCCCCATCTTTGTGTCATTCAATTTTCACATAATCTCAAACTACTCAATTCAGGTGGTTTAATTCATGTTTGGCAATGTCACTATCTCAAACAGATTCAAGCAGAAGCACAGAAGAACAAAATCACAGCACAATTAATTAAATTCCGGTAAGTCACATTATCTTTTTTAATATACCAATCCTAACAATTGTTTCTTTGTTTAGGTTTTTTTGTTTGTTTGTTTTTTTACAGTTGTTACAGTCTTTGAAAAGTTTCTCCTCTGTGTCAACACTGCAAGTCAAAAGAAAATATCATTATGTGGCTACCTTGAAGCTTCTTAACATAAATGCCCTACAAAAAAGGGATAACTACAACCTAAAGTTCCACTACCCATGAATCACTTACACACACACCATACTGGCAAAAACATCTAGTATAACATCTGTATAATCATCACCTTATACAGAGGCAGACTGAGACTCTAATACAGGCCAAGAACTTGACTTACAGTTTTTTACAGCCGCTAGGACACATTTCTCAATACTTAGGTCACTTTTGCAAAACTCTTCACACAATTCTCCTAACTGACCTTCAGCTTGGCAAAGCAGTTCATTTCACATTCAAAATGCACTACAACTACCAAAACACTTTATTCAGGTCTCAAATAAATTCATTCTTCCAGAACACTAGCAAAGGTTGACAGCCGACAAACACACTTTGTCACCCACAAAACAATGACCTAAAAAACACTAGCAACATGTAGCATTACACAGTGTTTTCTTGTGTAAAACAAGGACACATCTCTGTTTATAATTTCAATATATGTTACTGGAATGAATTAGACATCATGCAGAATTCGTCAATATTTGTTTATGTATTTTTAGTTTTTTGCACTAAGTAATCCCAAAATACAAGAATTTGTATACACACCATCCACTGATACACATACAATAGTAATGCTAATCTACTCGGTCTTCTCCATTTGGCCACAGGTTCCCATCCACATCACATCTTATGTCATCTAGGGCAATACACCTAGGAAAGAATCTTCTGGCATGCCAGAATTGAAGGAGTTGAAAAATTGAAGGAGTAACACCTGTGTAGATGTTCATCTACAATGAGAATCAGCTGTGGCTGGTTAAACTGCATTTTTAGATTTACAGTTTTTTCTGATTGCTTAAGCACATTTTTTGTAACTATTGGCTAATTTTGCAAAACTCTTCACACAAATAAGAAAACCTGTCACCCAATAATCAAAACATTGTAGTTCTCTTGCAAAAGCAAACACAGCTAGATTAACTCTTCACACCTTCGTAAAAATGGTGTTTCCGTATCAAACAGTACACACAAGCCATCATCTACTAAGCACACAATGCGCCAACTGCACATTGATGGTATGAATACAAAACACATCTGGCTTTTGCTTTCTCTGTGCACAAGGTAGGCTATGTCAGTTTGAGCTCATACTTCTGTCATAGATCCATAAGCATGGAGGGATCCAAACTTCAAGTACTGGTGTTTATTCAAACACATCAAAACAAACACAAGTGTTTATTTCCAAGTATAGGATTATTTGCAATCGCCATAATGACTATATGGGTTACTTGGTCTGCAGTGAACATGCTTCCTCTGCCCCAGCATCTGGTCATCTAGCAATTCTGTAAAGTAACAATTTCAGTATTTTTACATCAATGGTATTGGTGTGTTTCTCATTGGCATATGGCAGTGCTACAAATCTTTGTGCGAAGTGACTGTACTAACCGATTCTCATTTCAAGATGTCCTTATGGTGCTTGCTACAGTGTAGCGGCTCGAGTTAGGCTGGACCCGTTGGCCAGCTACCCTCAGGGTCATTCCACGGTTGATTACATGGTCCACTATTGTAGCTCTGATGTCATCAGCAATTCTATTTCTTACTCTTCCTACCCTTCCTCTCCCCCCTCCTCATCTTCCTCTCCCCCCTCCTCATCTTCCTCTCCCCCCTCCTCGTCTTCCTCTTGCTCCTCCTTGTCATCCTCTTCATCCTACTTCTTCACCTCCACGTCCTCTTCCTCGGCTTCCTCGGCTTCCTCTACTTCTCACTCTTTCTGCTCCCTCCATTGTACTCCGCACACACAGCTTACCTGTATTATAGTGCTTAGGCTGATTGCAAAGTGAACTAATTATCTAAAAAAGTTTTCACATGTGAAAGTGTGCCAGACAGTTGGCAAATTAGTGTTAATGATAGCCATACATGTGTATACTTTTGCTAGGAGTGTGTTGGAAATTTGGTAATTGAGTGTTGTGCAGTGAATTGTGCCTACAGTTTTGCAAAGTGTGTGTTACAAAATTGCAAACTGAGTGCAAAGCAGTTTTTGTGCTTTTAGTTTTGCAAACTCAGTGAGTGGTTTTGCTATAAGTCTGAATAGTTTTAGAGATTGTGCTACAGGAATCACAGTTAGGGTTTAAGCAATCAGAAAAAACTGTAAAGAATAATATAAGTTTCTACATGCTCCAGAAACCTTCAGATAAAACTCAGCACTTTTCCTCGACATTTTGCCGCAACATTTCAAAGAGCCGTAAAGTAAATAAACGGCAGACGTTTCATGCATACGCAGTACAGGAACGTAGCTTTTTCAGTGTGGATGAAAACAACTGAAAATGATAGTGTGGACGCGGAGTGTTTCTAGACATAAACACCGTTTTCAAATTTATCCAGATTAGTGTAGACGTAGCCTAAGCTGGTGGTGAGGAAATTCACGTAAATCCAGATGAGGCAACCCAGGAGCAATCGTAGAGGTAGGCACATTCAACTGCCACATCTATAAAATCAGTTTTCCTGAGTCATCTATGGACTTGGTGAATAGCAAGGTTAAACTTTAGTGCCCAGGAAAATAGGTCCCAGAGATCTGTTAATTTTAAGAGCTAGAACAACCTGTAAGAAGCGTTATGAGATGTGATATTCATACCCTAGTTTTACTTTTGATGCTTCACAAAGAGTTAAAAGAAAAAAAAGGATTGTCCACAATATTAGACTTTAAATGGAGATTGGCATTTGCTTTGCCATGCCTAATCCTTCAGTGCTCCTCACTTTAAAAACAAAGCAGATGGAACATTTTGAGGAAGAGTTTGCTCTCTAAATGGTTCATCTGCTTGTGACAAAATCCGGAGAGCAGTTCTTTATTAAGAGAAACATCACTTTATGCGCTTTCACAAACTTTACTCTCCCCTTTCCCTAGTCCTGTTGAAATCACTTTTGACCCAAATGACACCAGTTGCACCATGCTTAAATCCTTTTTTTACTGTTCATCGTGACCTTTGTACAAAAACACCTCCTATTCATGATACTATTGCACTTCATTCATTCAGAATCATTACAGAATGATTACTTCCACTTATTATGTTACATTTATAATCCTGAATTTTAAGAAAATAACCATAGCGCAAACAAATTTTATATATTCCAGAACTCCATACTTTACCAATAATTATACGGCTAAAGATTCAGCACCTTATTTAGACCGACTCAGGCGGATGAGGCTTTGAGGATTTCAGTCTCTTCAACAGTCAGTCGTATACAGTTTTTCTGGCAACCACCAGAGCAAGATCGTATACAGAGAAGCGTTATTAATCACTCCAGTGCTCTTGAGTCTACTGGCAGCATGCTTTACACCACCACATCCTACACTTTGCATTGCAATTGATGATGTAAGGCTTGGCCATGGAAACCCATTCCATGAAGCTCTCTACACATTATTCTTGAGCTAACCTGGAGGCCACATGAAGATTAGACAGATTTGTCTAAGTATCTGACAAGTCATTGGCTGTAACAATTGACTCTGCTGAAACTTGGCAACATCTGAGCACTATTTTATATTACCCATCACATAAAATCCCCACTGATTGTTTGCCACTAATAATTGTCTCTAGAATATTCAGTACTAAGAAAGGTTCACAGCTGTACCATTCTAGAATTCACTGAGAATGACCCATTTTTTCACAAATGCTAGAGTTCAAATTCAGATTTTATTTGTCACATACACAGTTCAACATGTAGGGAAATGCTTGCGCCCAAGATTTAAGTGCGGGAGTGAAAACCTTTGGCAATATTGTGTATCTAGTGAGCGACAGTTCTCTGTAATAAATAAATAAATGAATGAATTTTAAAAATGCATTGCTAATATCAAAGCTCAGAGGAAAGTGCCCTAACTGCTTTGAGCAGATAGGAGGGAAACAGCAACTCAAATAACCACTTGTTGCAACTAAGCAGTGCTGGGGAGTAACGGAATACATGTACCAGCGTTACGTATTTGAAATACAGAATATGAGTAACTGTATTCCATTACAGTTACCATTTAAAATGATGATATTCAGAATACAGTTACAAATAAAGGAATTACACAGCGGTCTTTTCCTGTTTCATATGCTAGGCAATGCCCTCTCTATTTTTGGTAATTCCACGCCAGTGGAAACCCAAACAAAAATGCATTAAGAGGATCTAATGCCTGGGTCTCAATCTTGCAGCCCATGTCACCCCTACTTGCGGCCTGCATAATGACATGAAGAAATATTTTTCAAAATTATTATTCAAAAAATTATTTAACCCACTGGGGTCGACGGACACGCCGGCACGTCAAAATCGCATGACCAATTTAAGATGAAACAGCAACAAGATGCAGCAACCCAGAGTCTCCTTTTCAACCAATACCAATACTTTGTTCAAAAACTTAATGTGTTATTGTATTTCAAATTATAGCTTCATAATGATTACAGGACATCAGACTACTTGTTCTCATTGTTTAGTTATAAGAATAATCACATAGAAATTAAAAAACCTGAAGTTGTGTGTTAATTGACGCTATTTGAACACGTATATCTTTTCATTTTACATGTATATACTTGCCTGGATATTTCAACAAAAACATTCAACATTCACACT